GTTTACTGTGGATTGTGGAGCTGTGGTTGTTTTGTTTTGTAATGAGATGTTTACGTCTAGTAGATTGGTTTCATTTGTATGGCTTGATAACTTATTTGTGTTTATTCTTTTTTAATTGCGGTTAACTGAAAAACCGCATCGAACCAAACCAAAAATTTCGATTCGTTTGGTTTGGTTTTTCCTCCTCTTGCGGTGTGGTTCGGTTAAAAAATTATGTATTTTTGGTTTTCGTTTTTTATTGGTGCGGTTTGATTTTTGACCGAACTGCATCGATGCTCACCCCTACAGTAGGAGTAGAAATGTTAATCAGTGTCTCCAGAATTTACAATTGTACCCCCAGTTGGGACTTGGTTACATTCAGAACCCTAAATCCCTAATACAAACTTCAGTTATTTTCTTGTTCTCATAAAACGCAGGCTCGACGCTTCTGCTCTTACCGCCACCACGAAATCGTTTTCCGACGACGTTGTAGCTCTCCGGTGAACGGTACTATCCAAATTTCTTTGCAAGATAAAAAACAAAATGACGACTTTACATGATGAAAAACTAGAGGCCGCAAAAGAAACAGGAGAAAAGGAAGACTGCGAACACTTAGACGACGAAGAAGAAGATGATGAATTGTCCTTCTCGTCGGACTCAGAAATCGGGGAGGCTTTGGATTATTTGGATTCGAGGGATGACGCTGACGGCGGTGTGGTGGATAGCTCGTTCACCTTGCTGCACACAAGGCGGCCCAATGCTCATGGTGGGCTCCACTCCAGGCCCAACAACTCCTCTCTTCAGCCGATATCAAATAAGTCTCAGAAAATTTCCAGTCACTTCCGGGCGTCTCCATTGGAGGTATTTAGTTAGCGCTGTAATTTGATTGATTTTTTTTATTTTATTTTTTTCATTTTTTATTCCTTGGTTTTTTTGTGTGTAAATTTGGGGTTGGCGTGTTTGTTAAATGATTTTTAGCTGAAGACTGTTTGGGTTTTTAATTGGATTGAAAAAGGTTCAATTTGTTTTTATTTAGAGTGGAGGAT